TCAGCCTTTTAGACAAAACGAAATTTGAAAACTGGAATTAAGTAAAGATCATTGATGGGAGATATGAGGAGCAAAATCTTCGCCAAGTGTTCTCGTATTACCAAGTCGAATTTAATTCTTGAGAGCTGCAGGTTAGCAAATATTTTACCGGAAATCAGACTTGCCCCAGGCCCTGTAGTTTATTGTATACACGAATTGGAGATCCCACGGCCCGTCCCGAGTCTATTTTCTAGAATTAATTTCGCTTCGGGCCTAATAAATCCGGGGTAGGTTGGGCCTAAAATTTTTTTTATTTTGTAAAATCGATATAATCTTTCAAATCTTCTTGCAAAAGAAGAAACAAGGCACTAATATATTTTTTATTTCGGGTACGGCTTTTCGGTACGATTTTTCAAACCGTCAGATATTTGGTCCAACCCGGCCCGGGAACAATTTTTTTTAAAAAGGGGCAGTCGAATTGATGCACAATATCGCGCACAAATTTACCGTTTCAAACAAAACGCAAACAAATTCATTTTAAATCGGACGCCATTTTTTTTTGTTTTTTAAAATTTAGACGTTTTCATAATCGCGTTTCGAAAAGGCCGCGTCGAAACGTTCAATTTGTGCGCCTGCGCACTATAAATATATAATATATATAAAAAAAAATATTTACTATATATTTTTAATTTTTTTAATGTCATTGTTCGTAATTTGTGGTTAAAATTAAAAAAAAATTTTTCTATAAATTTCTGAGGCTAGACACAAAAACGCAATTTTATAGAGGAGAAAAAAAAATATATATTATATATTATATAAATAAATTATTTATTAAATCGAATATAAAAATATTTTATTTCGAGAAAAAAAAAATTGTGTTCGTAAAATATAATTATCCCCTGGAGGAAAAAGAAAGATAAAAAAAAAAAATTCGAATTGGGGAAAGAAGGAGTGGAGATAAAGGGGGGGGGGGGGTAGTAAATGATTTTTTAAAAATTTTTTTTGGTAAATAATAAAATTTTTAATATTATTTGATTATAACGTTTCTTTAAGATAATTATTTTCGCGAGCATAGATGGAACTAGAGGTCTCCATTGGGCGGGCGGTTAAAAAAATATTTGAACCTCGGATAAACATTCCACACGTCATCAATTTTATTTGTACACTTTTTTTTTGTATCATGTGACATTTTAAAATCGTTTGTCACATTTTTGACTTTCTTGACAAATCATGGGGCGTATCTAAAATAGGATCCGGGTCTGAGTGAATCCCAGCCAGTCTTTCATTTTTTTCACCTGTTATTATGAAAGGATAATTGCTTCCCGTACAGACAGGCTATTACCACAAAACGAAAGGAAATGACAATTAGCGTGATTTTTTGATATTGATTATCGATTTTGTTTTGGTTTAAATATTTCTCCCCCCCCCCCCTCCCAAAAAAAAGTTCGTATATAATAATATCCTGTTTACGAAAATTATACCGATAAGATTTTAAGGGAAATAAATATAAATATCTAAAATATATCCGAAATTACTTTTCTAAGACTCTTTGAAAACAAATTTATTTGGACACGTTACTTTTGACAACCATTTTTTTTAAAAAAAGGTCACCAAATCAAACTATCCTTAACGAATTTCTAAGTATAATTCAAATATTAATTTTTTTTTTACTATCGACCAAAATATTTTTCTTGTAAGATGTGGCAAAAATATACGAGTATATGTTTTTTTTTATCCAGAGTCAGTTACTGTCATAAGATTTAAAAGAGAATTCCACCCCCTGTACCTCAAGTCGGTGTTAAATTTTTTATGAGGAATGATGATGAAACGTCTACTAGTGATGTTAGGCTGGCTAACTCAATATATCATCCAGAAAAATATTAGGCAAACCTGAAGATTTTGCTCGTAGAAGGAATAAAGGTTCAGACATATATTATCGAAATCTAGAAGTTTAGGCTTTCCGGCTAAAATATTGAGTTACGAGCCGTTTAACAACACTAACGTCTACGCAGACACCGAAGAAAAATTATCGGCATATAGCGCTTAATCCGGAATAGCAGAGGATTTGCTTCTATAGAAGCGAAGTGGAGTCCATCAGGGATTAGCATTACTCACCGTTATTTTGGTGTCAGGCCTATTGTTTGAAGAAAGAATCAATATGAGTGGTGTTGCTCATTTTTAAAATGTTGACATATCCGTAAGTAATCTTTTGACCGACAGTGTCCAACCAAGATTAAGAGATAAAGATTATAAATTCGACTTACCTAACCTGCTTTCTCTTCTTAAAGAATATTTAAATATAAGTATGATTGATCTCAAAAATAAAATACATTTTTTCGATTGACATCTATCACGAGAGGTTCAATTATATATTAATAAATAAATTATCTATTTTGTCCACTTTTAATCTTTATTTTTTTTTACGGGAAATTTCTTACATTGGTCAGGTGTAAAAATTTAATAAATATTTAATAAACATATCTTCCATAAATGTGAGATAATTTGAAAAAAAAAAAGTCTGCATATTTTAGCATTGTCTTTCCAAACCAAATCGCGGAGTTATGATCAAACTGGATTTAAATTCAGTTTCACGATACGCGAAATTTGTATAACATAGTGTACATCAAATTAACTTAATAGTTCCTATCTCTATTTTCCGGGAGGAGAAACATATATTTTATAAAATACATTTGCCGCCATGATTTCTTTGAACCGAATAAACGGGGTTTTTTTGAGCTGAGCCCATTTTCCAATTCTCCTTGGATGCAGGATCAACTCGGTGAACGCTTAACTGAACGAGATTTTTTGATTGGGTGAATAAGGACTAAGGATTATAGATTAGAGAGATATGGGTTAGGATTTAATTAAAGATTTGAGAGTTATGAGCTACAGATCACGTGATTTTAAACAGACGAATGCAAATTTAGATGAATCAGTTATACCAGCGCCAATTTTTTGAGTGGAACCGTAATCAGTTGCTCGAACCCTAAAGGTTAGGGTTCATATGGTAATTATTTCAACCAATCGGATCTTATAGAATTTACATATGTATTCCTCGTGTCTTCAATAAATTTTAGTGACATCTCGAACGGAGCCCAAGTATTTGTTCTGATTCTCGGATTTGCATTTAATCGGTTCACCACTTCTCGCCATTTTTTAGCACTAACACGTGACGATTCCATTAAATGCCAATGGAATTTGTTGGCCTATCGTCTGACCAATCCCACCACGTTACCGTAGAGGATAGTAGTAGAAATTGTATAAATAAAATAGCCACGAAGTTGATTTTATCACAAAAAAAAGCGGGGAATTAACTAATTTAGATTACGATGAAATTACGGCTGAAAATTAACATGCTGGAATGGAAAACATGTGATCGTTTGCATGTGTACGTTTGGCCGCAATGTGATATTTCGCGTCTTTTTAAAATTTAAAAATTCGATCTTAGCCGGAAACGTATTCCGGCATGTTTGGAATACCTTCCCTATACATTTCAGGCAATTTAGCCATAAATCTTTGAACTTATTATCTATAGTTTTTCCATATATTTTTTTTATGCAAATTATAAATGAATCAAAAGTTAACCACAATTCGTAAGATAAGGTATTATTCTAAACATGCTAAATTTTGAAAAGCGTGCTTCGAAGAATGATTTGAAGTTGAATTGTCCAAAACACGGCCCGGACCGGGTTTTATATTTTTTTAGGCCCGGCCCGGATTTTTTAAAAATATATTACATTTATTTTTGACAGTTAATAATGGCGATTTCAAATATTTGGTTTTAAATTATACCGCCCAGATCGGATTTTTTTAAAAAAAAAAAAATTTCAGGTCCAGCCCGTTAATTTCTAATTAATCAGCCTTTAGATGTAGATGGAACACTTATTTAGAGAGCGAGAACAAAACCTCGAATAAAAATATTTGAATGTTCGCCTACACCTATGAAAATGGTGGTTGCGAAATAGTAAAAAAAAATTACATTATCGATATTTTTGTTTAAAAAAAAGAAAAGAAAAAGATAAGTAAAAATTTTGCACCTGTAATGAAATATAAAAATTTCGAAAAAAAGAAACATTTTTATAAGAAATATTTAAATTAACTTTTTAAAAATATTATATTTTCTTTTTACCTTGAAATAAAATTATGAGTTTGTTATGTTTTTTGCTAAAATAAAAATGAACTCTTGTTTTTCAACATTTTTTTTAAAAATTTTTTCCTCGTGTTAAATTTTGTTTTGTTAAAAAAGAATATATATATATTTATCGTTTGGTTTAGAAAAATTAGAAAAATTTTAATGATTTGCTTTTCACAGAATTTCGAGAGAAAGGTTTGTATTATTCTGAAATTTAGGGATACCCTTATGATTAATTAATGCTTCTGAACTGTGGGATGGAAACTTTGCTCTTTGACATGCCAATTCCCTGTATATATATATCATTTTTTATGCCACATCTTAGCAGTACTCCTTATACCAATTGACGTCATTAGGGTTATATATATTATTTTTTTCAATCGATTAATTTGTAAAGGGCCTTTTAACACGGGGAAAAAACCTTTTTTTTTCCCTCACAATTACCTTTATATATATTATAACACTTTCTTTAACATTAATTTTTGTATTTTTTGGTTATTGATTTTCTCTTTCACCCTCCTCCCCCCTTCTTCATCCCTTTTTTAAAAATAATATTATCCACAGTTTTCTTGGTGTTTATGTAATTACAACCCCCCCCTCCCCTTCCTCTTCACCCATTATTTTGCTATCATTTAGTACAGTAATAAAAAATAATAAAAATATTAGTGTTTTTGAGTTCCTTTAAAAAAAACTACTATTAAAAATTACTTAAGTTTTTAATTATTTTATTTTTTTTTACTTTTCAAACTTATTTATATTTTGATTTGTATATAATACTTACTTTAACTTTATATATTATTATTATAAATTTAATTATCATAATTCATTTTTTCTTAATTAATTGCCTTGATATAATATATCTTCCCCCCTTTATTTACCCATTCTTTAGAACAGGAAGGATACACTGGGAATGAATCGGATCAAATTCCTCGTGGCGATATAAAGAGATTTTTTTCTCTCTCATTTTTATTTATTTATTTGCTGACAAAAAAAACGAACGTTGACAAATTCCAAAAAAATCCATTCTCCTCCCGACAAAGATGATGTTTTCTCCACCCATTTTGGACGCGTTACATAATCATGCCGCCCACCGTCCATCTCAGCATCGTATATATTCTCCGCACCACAGTCCTAGGGAGATGAACCTCAACGGGGGCAAAGAGCATCACGTTGGCAACACCGGCGAAGCTAATAATCAGAACTGTTCATTCTCCATTCCGAATTCGAGGTCTACGACGGCCGATAAGAAAGAAAGCGTTCTTTCCAACCCTGCTATCCCGCATGGCTCACTTTTTCATCACCCATCCCCCGCTTCCGCCATTTTTTATGGGGGCCGCGGTTGGAGTGGGAGTGAATCGTCCGCTTCGCCCCCGGTCCATTCGGCCAGCAATTACTCCGCCCTGGAAAATAGTCCCTCCACCCCGATCTCGAATCATAACTCGTCGACCGTGACGCACAACAATTCTGGACTTGCGGCCACTTCCCAAATCGTGGCACCCAATGGTAAGCCATAAAATTCTAAGTCATATATTGAAATATTATAATAAATTGAATCTTAAAAACCTAATATGGCCCCCTTTACTATGGCGAAATGTGATTCCTACTTATTTTTAACCGACTGCTATTGTTAGTTAGCGATCTGCTGGCCCGGCCCGATCCTACCCCACTGAGCTGGTCTTAGGTGAGCTTTTTGAGAAATAATTTTGGTTCGGGCTAGGCTAGACCTAATAATATTTAGGCCCGATGCACATCACTATTGTAAATATCAACGTTTGATCTATTCCTATTTAGAAGTGTGCAAATAGTAAAATTTTCCTGTCCGTTGGGATTTCGTTTTCGCCCATGCCCAGTTAACTTTGTAACTGACTATATATAATATACATATATATATATGTAGTTGAAGGCTAAAATAAACAGCTGTTTATAATTTTGATGGTTTAAATTAAAAACCGCTATACTTTACAGATAATCAATTCTGTCAATAAAACAAATTGTAGGAAAAAAGTAAATAGTTTAGCGGGTCATAATTTAATCATGCATTTGCACGTCAATCATAAGTTTTAATTTATCCGCATTGCACTAGGATCCGCCAGGGGAAATACGCATTTGCACGTCATTAAGTTTTAATTAGTCCTCATTTTGGAGACGCTAGCCTTTGCGAATTTAAAATTTTTTTGGCGGGAAGTAAATAAAAAATTACATGAATTTTTTTATTTTTTAGAATTTTTCCAAAAATATTTTTTTTTATTAACCAATAAATCAGTTTATAAATTTCATTTAAAGAGATTTTTTTTTTTTTGTTTTAAAAGCTAATAAAATAAAAATTTACGATTACATATAATAAATCAAAAAAAAAAAATTAGGAAATTAAATAATAGAAAATATTTTGAAAAATATCGATTTTATTATTGGTAAAAAAATAAAAATAATTTTTGACGTTTAAAATTTTCAATGTTTTTTCGAATGTAACCAACAACAGCTAAATCTTGGAATTAAAACTGGGTGAGGAATAGTTTTTAATTTTAGAGGTCGCAAAACGATGTTATCAAATATTTTCCATGTGGATTTAAAAATCTCCACCGCTCCCCACATGAACTAGTGCACCGTTCTTAAGAGCATCCGCAGAACAAAGGTCTGCAATTCCAGTCCCGAGCATAAAAATGATTTTAAATTTAACCACTCACTGTCTAGTTTCGTTTGGTGTTCAAACAACGTATTTTGGGTTCGTAAAAAAAATTAAGTTGGGGCTCGGTCGGGTAAGAATTAAACTTCCGCCGACACGAACCCGCGAATTTTGCCATTAGCTGAGCACCGCTGCAAACCGCGGTCTAGCCTTGACCGAGGAGGGTCGGTAGTACGCTATAGAATTTATAATGTTTATTTTTGATATTATTAAAAACCACAAATTCAGCATTTTGTTAAAATAATATAAATTGTACTTTAATTCGAATTTATTTTTGTTTGTTTCTATCAAAACATAAACAACGAACTCCTTTTAAAGTATTTTTGTTTTTTTTTAAAGAGTTCAAATTGGCTATTTGTTTTTTTTAAAACTGTTTTTGTTTTTTTGAATAAAACAAAATATATTGTACTAATTAAAATTTTTAAAGTTAAGTTGAAAATGGATGCCATCTTTTTTTTAAAAAAAAAAATCTTCTTAGAATCTAATGTACACCATTCCGTGATGAACTATCTTAAGAACCTCAGGAATTAACAGATTACTTCTAGAGACTAAATTAAAAAAAATTTAAGCAAAAATGAGTCACGAATTTTGGGACTCTAACGTTTTACTAGGATGGGCTTTCACATTTCTTGATCAAGAGTGACGTTTTTTTTTGTTTCATAAACCAGCTGACTTTTTTCGCTTTAAAAAATAAATGTAGTTTGATGAATTCATTTGAGTTACTTAAAAAAAAAAATTTCTACTCATTCCACTTTACTCCACTATACAAAATAAATTATGACAATGAGCCATTCTTTCTCGATTTACCTTTTCCTCGTCATTTTATGATAATCATAAAAATAATTTATAACTTATGTTCCGTGATGACAAACAAAAAACATTTATTTATTTTCTCATTTTTTTTCCTCCAATCAAATCCGGGGTTAAATAGTTCTAAGTTATTTTAAAAAAATATATATTCATTTCTAAATATTAATGTTTATGTAGTTGCAAAATAATAATGATAATAAATTACACACACACACAACCATTGATATTATAATAAATATTTTTTAAAAAAAAGGTCAAGGCTGAAAGATGCATTTATTTATGAATACAAAATCTTATTCTTCCTCACCTAATTCTCATCCTCATTCTCCCCCCCCCCTTCTCCTTCTCCAACCGCTCCATTTTTTATCATTGACACTTATAAATAAAATATTTTTTCATTTTATATTTTTTTTAATAAAAAAAATGGGGGTCATTAGTTTTGTTTGATTTATTTTTTTTTCTATACAGAAATACTTGATGAAGTTCCCTTTTTAAATATATAAAAAAAAACTTTTAATTGGTTTGATTATATATATGTGCTATAAAAAGTCTACGCGCATGCGCCTTGTTCGTCGATATTTTATGTTGACCTTTTTTTTTAAAAAAATTTTTTTTTAAAATGCATGTTAGATTTGTGCAGGGAAGCACACGTGACCCCAAAATCTGATTTGTTTGCTTATTTTGGGAAGATCTTGTTCCTCGATTTGATTCCTGTGCCATTTATTCCAATTGATTCGATTGTTTATAGATAAATATATTTTTTTAAAATAAACATCCCAATAACCTCGTCGCGGTTTATTTTAATTTTAACGCTCCCATTTTTTTTTTCGGAAATTTTATTTTATGACTTTATTTTTGACAAGAAAACACCTGAGGGTTTCTGCGAGGAATTTTTTTTGTAAACTTTTTTGAGACAATTTTATATATTATTTAACGAATTTATAATCTTAAAATGATATTTTTTTTTTTTAAATTAAGAAAGTTTCAAAACTTTCTCAAATTTTATAAAATGCGATTACGTTTTTAGGCCACGTTTTTACTTTGATTATTTAAAATTGATCTTATTTATTTTTCGTTAAGTTAATTTAATTGTTCGATATTTTTTAGAAATATTTAGCTCCGATTATTTTATTTTTTTTCTGGTAATTAATCAGCTGTGAAACATGTGGTTGGATACTTGCTCTATTCCTTAGCCGTTTAAAAAGGGGGGGGGACTGAGCCTAATTTTTTTTTTCTTCTAAATTTGAGAAATGTTCAACCTTTGAAATTTTCTCCTCCAATGCATGGTCAAATTTTTGGCGGCATCTTCATGTACATTGAGAAAATGCATCCGTTACCCGATTATATTGAAACCTCGATTAATCTAGCAGCTTTCGGATTTTACAGGAACTCGCAGGCCCGGATATTCGATCCGGAAAAAATGATGTTATATTTGCTGTAGGCCTTTGATAAATTTGAAACCCAGTTTTCATTCTAGTTTTAAAGAAAAGTTTTGTTGATTAATAATCCGAACCATGACATATAAATATGTGATATCCTATGAAGATTTTAAAAGATTGTTGAATCTTTCATTCAAGCCATTATTTTAATTGCTCCTAGTTTATATCTAAATATTGTCTTTTTAACACTAATTTCTCGCTTAGGAAGACGGGAATGGGTAAGATTTTTCTGGGACTAAAGAACACTTTAGTACTAGCCCTTTCACCCTGTTTGGACCACTTGGTTATTCACAAAAAACCTAAAACAGGAGGGTGGCTAGAGTTTAGGAACTAATTTAATCAAGGTATTTTCGATTTAGATCTAACTCAAGGAAATTCTCGTTAGCATACCTGATTTATTGAAATTTATTTAGTCTGTTTATTCCAGAGTTGTTAAAGTATATGTAGATACTGCACCTAGATTCAAAAATGCCGTATCTGTATCTAGATCCGTTTAAAAAGTATCTTTTACTCTGGTTCATACTTATGTGGCCTGCTAGACCTGTCAGGTTTCCAATAAGAATAATTAAGATTAACCCTAATCCATATTCTATCAAATCCTTAATTATCTCCAACTTCTAACGTACTTCTTACCTTAATTGCCTGTTTGTAATATAGTTTCTTCGATCGAATTAAGATGATAGTTTAGACTGCTTTAAAAATAATTTATCGGATTATGAAACGGTTTGAAACCCGACATCAGCACTAGCTACGTGGTGTTATTAATATTCTCATTGTATACGTCTCGCGTTTAGAAAGCCGGTTTTCGGGCTCTTGTATGAATCGCATATTTTATCTGGAAACCCAGAGAAAACCCGGGTCTAGCTTAAAAATACTCTAATTTTCGGTTATCACCTTCTTAGAACCGTTTATAAAAGAGGACCCATTTTTTAAAATTTTCATTTCGAGACAAAACAAAATTTTAACGACTTTTAATTATCAAAAAATGCTTATTTTTTAAAAAAAACATTAAAATGAGAATAAAACTAATTAAATTAATTTTATAGTCCGATTCACCATAAACTTTTTTTTCCCGCGAGGATGTATTTCCTCATCTTCCTTTGGAGGGATTAGATCTCCCATCGATCTTGCTTCTCACTGCCTTTATTTCTAGCAATCTACTTTCAAAGCCCACACCTCACATAATGAATTTTCATCCTGCTAATGGAGGTCACGCGTTGAGGATGTCACATCGCCCGAATCCGATTAGACAGAAGGATTGGGGTAGGTCAGTTGTAGCATGCTGAGTTGAAACCCTACTATCTAGCATGCTCTCCCAGACCGTTCTCTCTTCCCTCCCTCACTTAATGGATCCTGGCATGAATTTTTGGAATTCATTCCTTCACAAAAATTTTTAACTCCAACTAACCAACAATGAGCTAATTCACTCTACAATAACCTTTTCTCACTTATGTCCTCGTAGAGAGCAAAGGAAGTCACAGTTTACATTGCAGATCGTGCAAAGGACCAATCCTCAGGCCTACCCAATGCAATTCCCTGATCCAGTTAGCATTGAATTCAAGCAGAACCACCGTTAAACCTGTATTAACCTTTATTATTTACCGAAAAATGTGCTTGAACCTGTTTGAACCTTTTGATATTTTAAAATCTTTCAATGATGATTAGTATAATCTGCTTTGACCGAAGGTATCGGTAATTACTTTTCTATATTGCTATCTGACACCTGCCAACTATCCAAGTTAGCGTACAGAAGAGAATAGGGAAAATATTTCGATTGTATACGGCTCTATATTATAATTTTAGAGATGAGTAAGTAAACCGTTCTTTTCTTTACTTAATTCGAATACACTTGTTTGGGAAGTCAAAAGGTTTATCTGAACCGACCCCAAAAGATTAACCGACCCGCTATTCGTTACGGTTCGGAATTGGATCCCTGCCTATATTCCATTCGCCATTCAATAAAATGAATTTGAATGCATAAAAATAAAAATAAAAGATTTTTTGAATGGCCAAAAAAAAAAAATATTTTTATTGCCAAATTTTTACATCGTTTCGTGTTTTACATATTAAAATAAAATAAATTTTTTACGATAGAAAAAAAAAATTACTTGTGACAATACATAATATAATTCGTTGACATTGTAGATTTCGCTTTATTTTTTTATAACAAATACAAATTTTTGCCACATGTTTTAAGCTGGCCAATAATTTTCGATATTCGCGACAACTACTATTATTTGGCCTTAATTTGTAATTTATATTATTATCATGTTTTGGAATGCGTCCTCTACATGTGACCAGATTGTCAAATTGTTTGCTCGAATTGAACAGGGAAATCTTGTTGTTTTTATTTGTAGCTCTAGCTTTTATAAATTAGGATCGAATGCTGTAAAAAGGGTAAAACGAATAGCCCGTTACTTTTTTTTGTTGTTAAGAGTAACTGTCTAAAAGTTACTTTTACACAGTGACAGTAACATCGATAAAGGTTCAAAAGAACAATATAATAAACATAAAAACTTTACAATTCCTTAAGCTTACCTCAAAAGTCAAAATTTATGATCATTTTATTACTCGTAAAAAAAAACGATAAATTATTATTATTACTTATACGCCATACCTTAAATTCTCGGTAAAATAAAACAAATAAAATATTTGTTGCGTCACGCTTCAATGGTCGATTGCTTGCGAAGACCTTCTTACTTTGACCAATCATAATCTCCCATTTCTAAGTGTCCAATCATCGGGCTTTAAATGTATTACTAACCCACACCGCCATTTAAATTTTTTTTCTCTTTTTAATAATTTAAAATATATATGTATAAAATATCTAATTTTTTATTTTCTCACATGGCTTCATTTTCATAATCATCTTCAACTTTTGTTGTTGTTTTTTATTTGTTTTTTATAAAAAATAAAAGAAAATATTATTTGAATAAAAGAAAAAAAACACATTTTTATTGTTTTGCATTATCTCTAGCGCCCATCTTTTTTCCTATCCCACACCACACCAACAACAACTATCAGAAATATTTTTTAAAAAATAAAAACAGACTCATTTGCATAAAATTTAAATATTTTATTTTTCAATCGTAAACAAAAAATACCATATAATATTTAAGTATTTATAACTTGCGTGTTTTTTTTTAGTTTACAAAAGAACCTACTGGCGCCAAAATTTAATATTTTATTATACCCCTCCCCCCCCCCTTCCTATCCATTATTCACTTTAACGCCATTTAAAATATTGAGCATATTTTGGAGTGTCATAAAAATTTTAAAAATGGCGATTAAAGTCAAACTAATTTAGAGTTTGTTTAATCCTTCAGTACTTCCTGTGACATAAAAAAAAATGACGTCAATACTTGGGTGTGGGATCTAATAAACCCAACGACATAATATTAACTAGACTGACAAGGCGTTTGGAGCGTCATCGAATGCAAATCAGCTGGACCCGCCATTTTGGTATCTCGATGATCGGGCAATTCTTTAATGAAGTTTGCGTCAGAGCCTAGGAATAAATTGACCTCTCGTTTTAAAATTTTTTAATAACGGTATGGGTAAACAAAATGGAGTCCTCAGCTGTTTTTTGATATATAGCATGTCGTTGACAATGCCCTATAATTTTTAAAATATAAATTAAGAGTAGCTCAAAAGGTGGCCGCAAAATGTCCGACCCGTAGCGAATTATTTAAGTTTAAAAAAAATAGGTTAATACCCCCGCTGTGTTCTTATAACACTTGTGGGTATCATTTAAAATGCGCTTTCATTCCGGTACCTAACACCGAGAGCGGTTGCTGTATTAATACATTACGCGATACTTGATTGGTGAAGTATCTTTAGCATTTTTTAAAAAAGGTATGAATCTTCGGGATTCACATATGGGCTACGATAATTGAGCCGTTTAATTGCATTTAGTCGAATCGAATGACATTGATCGATCAACCTCCTTAATGGAAGAGTATGATCCTCGAAGTTGCCAGATTTTTGATCCGTATGATGAACCGACATGGATTTTTTGGTTCACGATGTGGAAACTTAATATTTGAAGTTCACGCGTCTTTGGAAGAAATCTGGGAACCCTGATTGGTCCTTCTATTGAGGATAGTAGGAGTTCAAGACACCCCTAGAACGATATACGAGAGGACCCCACGTATCGCGTTAACGCGAACCTTATTTATTTTATTTTACATATGTTATCTTTAATTTATTATATCCCAATGCGTCGATAAACAATCAAGCCGATAACTCGTACTACGACAATTTGAAACGCAGCAAAAAAAGCGCTCAAAAACCTCAAGAAGAACTTTGCTTGGTTTGCGGGGACAGAGCTTCCGGTTATCACTACAACGCCCTAACCTGCGAAGGGTGCAAAGGTTTTCTTTCTTTCTTTTACGTCACTCATAATCATTAGTTGGGTGTATTACAATATTTTTACCGATTTCATTTTCAAATTTGATTAATCAAATGTAAATTATTTATAAATCTATTAATATTTTAAGGATTCTTTCGGAGGAGTATTACACGCAACAACAGCTACGAATGCAAATATGGCGGCCAATGCGAGATGGACATGTACATGAGGCGGAAATGCCAATATTGTCGCTTCCAGAAGTGTTTGGCCGTTGGGATGAGACCGGAATGTAAAATTATTAGCATTCATTCACGCGCGTTAAGTTTTTGATGTGATCCTGACTAATTTCGTAAATAAGGATTTGAGTGTCTCATGGAGAAAGGTGTACGAAATTTTAGGAATTGTCATAAAAGGAATTAGATTTTTCGCCCCCTGTTAATTTTATAAAAAAAATAAATTCTTCGTATTCAGGTGTCGTTCCCGAAAAGCAATGTAAAGCCAAACGCTTGGCCAAGGAGAAAAACAAGCCCAATAGCACAACCGGAAATAGCAATTCCAACATAAATTCTAATTGCGGAGGCACCACCGCCAACAGCAACCCCGGCCACAATTACGCCAATAATAATTCCAACTGTTCGTCCTCTACTTCTGCCGATTGGTGCGCCTTGCCGGAAGGGCTCTCCCCAGTAAGCCATTTTTAACTTGTTTAATTTGAGCACGGCCCCAGTGAAATAATTTTTTGATCGAAACGAAAATGTTTGATATTCAGTTTATATTTATATATTAGATAATATCATCCATCCCAACTAACAATTTGATTTTTTTTTTAAAATGTTTAAAATAGGATCACCAAGAGCTCATACGTAAACTCGTATTTTACCAAGACCAATTCGAATTACCGCCCGAGGAGGAGGTCAAGAAAATTACTCCCTTCTCAGAATCCAATTCCATTACTAACGCCATTTTTAGATCCAAAATGGCGGCTCCCATGAGCTCCCCAGACGAAATTAACTTTTCCGCAAAAAGCGATGATAACAGTACCATAGAAAATATGATGGACGTCACCGAAAGCGTTATCGATTCCCGTGAGTTCTTTGTTCAAATTTAAAACGCATATTTCATATTTTGTTATTTTAAAACGGAAATCAAATTTTTTTGAAATTTAATCTCACGTTTAATATTCGTTCAGTGCCAAATAGCTGCCATAGACCAAAGCGGTCCGAAAGTCTGCTTTAGTGGCAAGAATCATTTACCCTCCCTCACTAATTTACACAGATTAAGATTTAGCAAAATTTGTTATCCCGTGAATGTGTGTTATCATTTATTTTATACTAAATTTTTTATATATAATATCCCATCTCCTTCCGCCTATTCGTCATAAGATACGGAGATGATGATATCCGCTTCCTTGGGTGGTAAAGATGATAGCATTTTTGCCAAATTCCAACGATTCTCTCACTGCACCGAACTAACCATACTAGTGACTCAGTTGATCGTAGAATTTACCAAGAGACTTCCCGGTTTCCAAACCCTACTTAGGGAAGATCAGATCACTCTTCTGAAGGTGAAGATTAATACTACTTCTTATTTTATTCTTTCTGCGTTCCATATTACAGGATGATTTTTCCGTATTTTGTGAAGATTGACTTTTGAAATGTTATTCCCATTAATTTATTATCTAAAATAAGGCGGCCGTTTTTGAACTCATGGTTCTCCGTACCGCCCGACGCTACGACCTGGAGACAGACTGTGTCGTGTTCGCCAACAACGTTCCTTACACGCGCGACAATTACAAATCGGCAAATATAGGAGAGATATCCGAAGCCCAGTTCGACTTTTGTCGCAGCATGGCCGTCATGAAGGTAGACAACGCGGAATACGCCCTTTTATCCGCCGTCCTCATCTTTTCTGGTATATCTTATTTCTAAAAAAATACGGAAACTTTACTGAGGCTAAGCATGAAGATCAAAACATTTTAAGAAGAAGTTTATAATATTTAAACCATTGGGTCGAGAAAAAAAATAATGCTAGGGGTTGGATGGGGCAGATCCCACTCCCTTTTAAAACGGGTTTGCCATTGTTTTGGCGCAGAAAGTCTTATTACAAGAGCACAATAAACCCGCATTTTATATATTATGTTATCATTCAATTCGAACATCTTATGAGAAAAATGTCAATATCCCTTATCTTTAATCATTCTTTCAAATTCTTGTTCAAATCGAAACATTTATGAAACAAAAATAATATTTTACCATTTAAACTTATAATTTATTCTAAATAAATTTATTTGCTTAATTACATAATTTTGTGCATCAATGTTATTGCATAAAATTGTAATGTTTAAAATATTAATTTTTTACATGAGAAAAAATAACCTTTACAATCTTGAACTGATGATATCTATTAGATTTAAAAGGGGAAAAAATATAAATAATTTTATCAAAATGTTAAATTATTTACCTTTTGTATTTGAGGGAAGTTCCAACTAATTATGCAAATTTGTATATTTTTTTTTAATATCACAAATGCACGTATTTTTTTTTAATGTTTTCATGATGACACGATGATGGATATGTTAGAATAAATATAGGTGTTGTTAACGGCTAATCGAAGAATATTGCCTAATCCTTATAACATGTGTCTGGACCTTTGTTCCTTCTATGAGCAAAGTCTAGAAACCTTTGATCCTTCTATGAGCAAAGTCTAGAGACCTTTGTTCCTTCTATGAGCAAAATCTTCAGGCTAGCGTAATATTTTTCTGGGTGAAATATTGAGATCGCCGTTTTTAGAAATCGGCTCAAAACGAGCCGTTTGACAACACTAGTTAGAAAAAGGGAAATTAAGCTGCTAATGTCATTCTTTAAACCTCCCTTCATGTAAAAAAAAAATTGATTCTACATTAATCTCTAAATCTTACAATGGCAAAATTATCCTCGTTCAATAGGGAGAATTACGAAAATTTGAGTCTTTTCTATTAACAAAAAATCACAACTTTATTTTTTTTATTCAACAATAAGTTTAAAAACATTACTTTATTTATATACTTTTTTTGCCACAAAATTATTTTTTTTTAAAATAGTTTTAATTTTATAAGATATTTCCGCTGACTTTTAAATGAAAAATTATTTATTTTTTTAAATCTATAAATGTTCGTTTTGAATGAGAATTTGTTCGAATTGAATGATAACAAGAAATATATATTTAAAAAAAGAGGTCTGTTTACGTATTTTGTGTGCTCTCGGTCGTAATTAACAGTTTCTGTACTAAAACAAATATTATGTGCTTCGATATTTTTAGACATTATTTGAAATAATTAACAAATACACAAAATTTTGTAAAGGGTGTTTGCAAATAAAACGAAAATTGCCAATAATCATATTTTCAAATAGTAATGTTTTTTTTAATGTAAGAGTTGATATCTGTCAGTGTTGTTAAACGATACTTTTGAAAGTATCATGCCACCCGCTAACGCTATTTGACAAAACAAAAGTAGCGCGCTATAAACTATTTTTTTTAGAAAGTCGCTTTCGCTACTTTTGACGCCAAATAATTGTTACCGCACTCGAGAGCAATGTGTGGTATTTAATTTTTTTCCTGAACTTTTTATATAAGAAATATGTTCATTTGAATTTTAAAACGCTCCAAGACCATTTAACAGCTAAAATGTATCATCGTTGGGTATTTAAAATTAATCAACATTACCAATTAGCTTAATTTGGCTGCTCTTTTCCAATTAAGTTAATAAAATATCAGAACACGGATACTTTATTTTACCTTTCACGAGTCCCGATAATCTGCTATCGTGCAGATGTAAGAGGTTTCTGATAAATCTATTCATTTCCTGAAAATTATCCAAAATGTCCTCGGCCATTCTCTGCACCCGATATTTATTAAATCCTATTATTTTGAGTTCAAAATATGTTACAAATTTGGGCGAAGGTAATTCCGTAATATCAATTTTTTTAGTGAAATTTTGTGATTATCATCTATCTCCAAATCGTCTTCCATGTCCTCTATTGGCGGCATGATTATATTTTAAATAACTTGATAAATTAGATTATAAAGCATAAAAGCGCGCTACCGCCCTCGTTATTTTATTTTTTTTTAAACTGGCGCCATAATTTAACAACTCTCGATTTTTTTTTGCCTCTTGTTTGTTAGATCAATCATCCAATAAAAATGCATAAAATAGGAGGCTATTGGACAAAAAAAAATCCCGCCAAAATATCGACGAGTTCATTGGTAGTCTAACAATTTTAAAATAGAGTGGTGCCGCTGAGAATAGTGTTGCGGCTCGATTTGAGCCGATTCTTAAAAACGGCGAACTCGATATCTCAACTAGAAAAATATTGTCTGAGCTTGGAGATTTCGTTAACAGATATTCAAACCTTTGTGCCATCTACGAGAAAAATCTTCAGGCTTGCGTAAATATTCTTCCGGATAAAATATCGAATCAGCCCTTTTTAAAAACCGGCTCAAAACGAGCCGTTAAGCAACACCACCCGAGAATTAACTCTTCATTCGAGATTTTTTTTGCTTGAAATTTAGAGAACGCTTTTTATTACGCGCCTAAATGTTTTAGCGTATTAGGGGGTTTCTTATTTTTTTTTAAAACCGAGTACGAAAATCACGAGTATGTTCAACATATGCCAGAATTTCTCGAAAAACAGTTAAAATTATCGCCTTCGTCGTTTGGCGATAGGTTTTACCCTATTTTCCAATACTAAAATGGGGTTTATTTTTATAATTTTAATAAGAGTGAGAAGCAGAATTGAGGAAACATACATCAGTTCATAAATTAAGGCGGCATACTTTTCCCGGAAATAAATTAATGGGGATCTTTGTTCCATAAAAAGAGGAAACGAAGGAAAATGGACGCAGTTTAATACACTTCATAAAACTGGCATATAGATATCCCAAAAACAAAAGATTTTTTTTTATTATTCACAAAATATACATAAATTTGTAAAAGGTACCAGTTAGTTTGAACACTTCATGATGTTAGGCCACCTTTTCATTTTCTAAAATAAAGTATTATTTATCCCTGGTTCCTTTGCCCACTCTTTTCAATTTTGTTGCAAACGCGATGTTTATATGTTTTTCTAATCGTCCCTCAAAAAAAAAATCATATTATCTTTGTGTAAATGTGTTTTTCGCCATAAATCATTTTTCTTTCAAATATAGATAGATCTTTATTTGCTTCCTCCATGTTATTGAATAGAAAAACCCCATCAGGTCTCCAGTAATCTCTGGAAATGCTTCTCGTCTTAGCTTATAAGGCTTATACCCTAAACGTGCCGAGATACGCTTTTCTCTATTATTGAAATTCATCCATTCTCTCGGGCAACATTTTTGTCCTTAATAACTAATCACTTTTGTACTTATCTGTATAATATTTTTCTTGGTCTAGGAAATACTTGGGAGATTTGTTAATTTAAAGTTAGTTTAAAACAAAATATATATTAATTTAATTAAGTATTCTTAAGAAAAAATAATAATTCTGTTCCCAAAAGGGAAGAATGGTTAAATTTAAAAGTTTATCGGTATATTCTGCCTTAAGGAATAAGAATTGTGCCTTTTGTATATATTTTTTTTGATAAGTGAAAAACCAATGATATAAAATTTAAATTTTTATAAATATAGTACTATCAAATTACATTTCTTATACTTAAAAAAGATCGACCCAACCTGATTGAACCCGACAAAGTGGAAAAGGTCCAAGAAACTTACTTAGAAGCCCTGCGGAACTATGTCGAGCTCCAGAGAGTCTACCACAATAACCATCTCAATTCCAATAGCGCTCTCGGCACCCTCTCCAACACTAGTTTGAACAATAATTGCTCCAGCAGTACACCCAGCGCGATGCCAACATCGATGGCGCTGAGCCCTAGCAACATAAATATCTTGGCACGTTTACTCATGAAGTTGACCGAGCTTAGAACGATAGCGTGTCAGCATAGCGACATGTTATTTTCGCTCAAGCTTAAAGACCACAAACTTCCGCCCCTGCTTTCGGAGATTTGGGACGTGAAACAATAATTGCAAAAAGAATTTGGGGTGAGGAATTTCTTCACCGAACCTGATTGTTTAAGTTAGTTACCCCCTCTCTTTTGGTAGACAAAATAATGATCATTTTTTAAAAAAACGAAATGTGATAAATTAGAAATTATGTACATTTATTTCATTTGAATTTTTTTTATATTTATTTGGAAAATTTACTAACCCATGATTGAATTATGATTCTCCTTTTGGAAAAAAAAGTGAAGCATTAAAAACAAAAAAAAACTTTATAGTATTATAACAAAAAAACAGAAAAAAATTATTTGTTGAAAATATGTTTACCATGATTTATTTGAAAAATTTACTTTATAAATATTTGTTTTATATATATATATTTAATATATTTATTTTATATATAAATTACTCCATTTTTTTTAATGTTTGGCGGTTTAAAAGATGATTTGCGACTATGCGATATCTCCCCAATCCAAAAAATAAATAAATAAATAATGGTTTTAAATATTGTATATATTATATAAATATATATATAATAATGTAATTTAAATTTTAATAAAACAAAAAATCATATCAATATAATAAGCACCAACGATGATGTATTTATAATTGACAAATTCTTCTTATATATATATTCTTCGCTTTTTTTTATTATACTTTATAATAATAATATATATAAAATGTATCTTATAATTTAATGACATATACATATATATATATATAAACGGTAATCTAATTATCTCTGGGTTCAACCCGAGGAATTAGCGATGAACAAAAAAAACCGTAGCGTAGCGTAACAATGTTAAAAAATTTGTATTATTAACTCATCAGTTAACGGTTTTGTAAATTTACGGAATTTAAAAATGACATATTTTTTTTGGACTTTTAATCTGGTTTAGATTTTTTTGCTTCTACCTTTATTTATGATATTCCCTCCCTTCTCGCCTTTTTTTTTCATCCTATCATTGCTGCATAATTTTGAAAATATTCTTAATTTTTTATATATTAACAAAAATACGAAAAAAAAATTTAATAGTATTATCTTCAGAAAAAATGATTTCGAAGAAATTTTTTTTGTTAATTATTGTTCATTCTTTGGAAAAGTATTATAAAAATTTAATATCATAATATTTGCCAGTTAAATTTGTTTATTTTTTAAATTATTTATTGGGAAATCAACCAATCACAAACCAACCAATCTCATCTAAGCATTTTATTTGAAAGAAAAATAATAATAAATAAATCCAAAAATTATTTTATTTTTTTTTTAAAAGGGGCTTAAAATCGTAATTCATAAAGCCCACTTTTATAATTATTTATAAAAACTAATTTTTATTCATTTTTTTTCTATTACCTAATCATTGTAATCTTTTATATTATTTTTCTTTTTTTCCCCTATTCACATTCTCTCCGCATGAATTTTTTTTTAATTATAAGAGTAAATATACCGATGTAAAAAACACAAAATTAAATAAAACTAGTTCTTTATATTAAAAATGGCGTTGTATTGTATTATTAACCGTTATTTATTGGGGTTGAAGATTTTAACCCGAATAATCTGACTCGATGAGACCTTCGACTCGGCTAAATTGACAACAAAACTTGTCATCGATACAAATTTTGACGAGCTGTCAGTTAATCTTATGGTTTTAGATAGTTATTTTAGTTTGAGATACGAAAATAGTCCCCTTCATTGGTATTTTTTGATCATTTTTTTAGTGCTCATGCTACTTTGTTTTTTTTTTCATACTTGCACTTTGTTCTCATGGAGGTTCAATGATCAAAGGTTTCTAACTCTGGCAAACTTTTCGCATAGTTATTGGGCATCTCATGCAACAAGTGTTCCATCATAATCAGTCATCAGCATACCTTATGATATAGATAGCCCTTGTAGAAGAAGTTTATCACTTAACTTTATAAAGGTATCCAATAAGTGTATACCATAAGATAAAGTTTTTTTCATTTCATAGAAAGTCTTTTATCAGTCATCATATAAGCGGAAGAGATCTTTCAGATGGACAAGATGTACCAGGGATTCCCAAGATAATCTTTAGCCATTTTTAATAAGATTCTAAATTCTTTGAGGATCGTTTCCATCATAAAAAGGGTTTTCATATGGAAGTACTTTAGGGGTTGTTTAATATATAAATCAAATTCATTCAAGAAAGGGGTGTGATTTTGTCTAATTTTATATTTTAAAAAAATGAGGTAATACATTGAGACTGATATCATTTTATTTTAAGATTCCATTATTCCCATAAATATAATATTTAATATTCTCAGTCAAAACCCCGCTATTCCTAGTGTTGTTAAAAACCCAGATTCGTAAGATTATAACCAAAATAACATTATGCAAATCCTAAAGATCTTGCTCACAGCTGGCAGAAATGCTTGGACATCTATTTGCCAAATCTCGATGCTCACATAATATTATTTTAGCGGAAATCTTAATCGGGCCAACACTAGCCCCGGGATTGTTATAATCCATATATCTCATCAAGCTTTTCTTGAGCCTTTAAGGGAAGCCTCTTTAAAAAAAATGGATAGATTTTCGAGTCTATTCAAATTTTCGTAAAGATGTTCTCGTAAATTGTCATAAAATAGAAATATTACACTCAGAGAGTGGGATATTTTTTCAGACCCAAATATTTCCATAACATTCCTTAATATGGCGGCAAAAGATCTGAGATCTATTATAGTTGCTTCCATCATGTCCAATTAAATAGAATGAATTTACTTGGGTTATCCCCATTTCATCATAATCACTCTTATTTCCATGAATTTGAAAAGTTAGGACATTCCATCCTTAATATCATATCAAGAGTGGAATTCAATCTTGTGATAATATTCATTTTGCCTTTTTAAATATTAATGGCGGTTTCAGGTTTTTTTGACAAATTTCTTTCAGAGTGGATATTTTTTGCATTAGATATGTGTATTGAACGAACAATTGCCTGTATCTTTCAATTTAATGCGCATCTTTATTTAATGGAGCAAGTGATGATTACTAAAAATTTGATAAATTTTACACACATAATAAATCTTAATCGTAGTATAACTTAATAAAATTATCAATTCAATTTTTATATGATTCTTAATAAAAATAGTGATAAATTTTATAATAGAATCATTTTAAATATAAATTACAATTTATATCTTTACCTAAGATTCGTTAGATGCACTAAGAAAGACACCTAACCTGGATATAAAATCAAGAGTATTACAAAGAAGAAAAAAATATATATTTTGCCCCAAAAATAGATTTGAAAGTGCAAAATTATTCTTTGTATGATGATGGGAAAATAATCTGTACCCTCAATCCCCTATCGAAATATTTATTTTAAAAAATAGATACTAATCAATAGCCAATTCTGAATTTAATGCATGGATCAATCTTTAAAAAAAGAAATTCAACAATAAAACTTCGTAGATTAAAAATACGCATATCTTTAGCCCCCCCCCCCTTTTTAGTTATTCAGATCGATAGTTATCTTAACTTTAACCACTAGCTTAATTTCAAAACCTGTTTGTCTTCTAGATAACATCTTCAAACCTGAGAAAGAAAAAAAATTAATAAATAATATGGATGAATTTCATCAAGTTATAACTTTATTATCAATATTAATTGAATAATTATAATGGCTTTTAACAAACTAATGATGAGAGACCAAAAAAACCTTTAACTGATTATCAAGAATAACCAAGTTTTATTTTGTTTCCCATGACTAACATTAAAAAATGTTGTAGCTATATAGAAAAAAATATACTTTTGGAACGCTATTAGCGCCTTGCGTTAAAACATTTATAGCAAGATTGTTCTGTTTAACGATATTAGAGTCGAAGGCACCTTCCTCTCCTAATATTTATCATATCGGAAGATGTGAAAAAAGTATACATGTCAGAAAATTCATCGGATCCAATACCCGGTAAAAATCTGTACCTTACTTTTACAAGTTAACTTAGATATAACAAAAATGCCTTTTACTCTCAATTATATAACATTGACCATTAACGACGATCCATATTTAACATAACCCATTTATTCAAAATGGTCTTTATCCATAATAAAACCACAATTTTTACGAGTTAACTTAGATATAACAAAAATGCCTTTTACTCTCAATTATATAACATTGACCATTAACCACGATTCATATTTAACATTACCCATTTATTCAAAATTATCTTTATCCATAATAAAACAACAACAATCTATCCATTAAAAATAATATAATATAATAAATCATAATTATCCAATTCTTCATTTCCCAATGGTCCACAGCTGACACCTTCTACCATTAATCCAATATCTCCCAATCTCCAACTAGGGGTTTTTCCTAACAATGAAACACCCCGTGATCCTCATCTCCTCTTCTTCCCCCAAGGAAAACTTCATTCCCCTGTCAGAAAATAAATGACATTTTATGTATTATATTTAATTTATTTCTTCTTTTTCAACAATTACAACACTTACCCCACTTGGAACAAATTTAGCCCGTTATAAATTACGAGTTTTTAGTCATAAACAAATATATTTTTTCGAATAATTATCTTAAAACTTAAATTATCAATACTCTATCACAAACTATCAAAAAATTGTGAATGTAAAAAAGTTATTTTTTAATTTTTTTAGAAATCTCAATTAATTTTCTAAATAATTTCATAAAACGCTTTCGAATGCATTATTATGAATGCATCATCAGTCTAGGTATTATTATATGTCATTGATTTTTGTATAGTGTTTAGCATGAAATTAAGTTTACTGATAGAAGTTCTACTTCTATCCCTTTTAAGGGATTGGGTCCAAAATATCAAAAAATAAATTTAAAACTTTAATGCAGTAGCGTAGGCATGGGGTGGGGGGCTCCCCACTTCCCCATGAAAAATGGAAAAAAAAACGCTTGATTTTTATGTTTTAAATTTATTATAAATAATAATAGATATTCACATTTTATTATTTATATATTTATTAAATAAATTTTATATTATTTTGCATTTCATAAAAGTTGTCTAGTTTGTCATATTCCATTAAATATATACTTCTCATTTTCAATATGAATTTCACACCTACCCAAAAAAGGAAGTTATTTATTCAAACGTATCATGATTTTGACTCAAAAAATCAAAAAAAAATAACTAAAAAAATTTTGTCCGACCAGATTCGAAGAGTCGGTGAAACTTTTTATTGAACTATGAGTATTGGGCCTCTCGTGCAACAAGTGTTCCATCATAATCAGTCATCAGCATACCTTATGATATAGATAGCCCTTGTAGAAGAAGTTTATCACTTAACTTTATAAAGGTATCCAATAAGTGTATACCATAAGATAAAGTTTTTTCATTTCATAGAAAATCTTTTATCAGTCATCATATAAGCGGAAGAGAATAATCTTTCAGATGGACAAGATGCACCAGGGATTCCAAGATAACCTTTAGCCATTTTTAATAAGATTCTAAATTCTTTGATGATCGTTTCCATCATAAAAAAAGGGTTTTCATATGGAAGTAGTTTAGGGGTTGTTTAATATATAAATCAAATTCATTCAAGAAAGGGGTGTTTTTCATTTTATCTAATTTTATATTTTAAAAAAATGAGGTGGTACATTGGGACTGATATCATTTTATTTTAAGATTCCATTATTCTTATAAATTTAATATTCTCAGTCAAAACCCCGCTATTCCTAGTGTTGTTAAAAACCCCGATATGCAAGTCCTAAAGATCTTGCTCACAGCTGGCAGAAATGCTTGGACATCTATTTGCCAAATCTCGATGCTCACATAATATTATTTTAGCGGAAATCTTAATCGGGCCAACACTAGCCCCGGGATTGTTATAATCCATATATCTCATCAAGCTTTTCTTGAGCCTTTAAGGGAAGCCTCTTTAAAAAAATGGATCGATTTTCGTCGAGAGTAAATTGTCATAAAATGGAATTATTACACTCAGAGAGTGGGATATTTTTTCAGACTCAAATATTTCCATAGCATTCCTTAATATGGCGGCAAAAATTCTGAGATCTTTTATAGTTGCTTCCATTATGTCCAATAAAAACAAAACAAATATTATTCATTTTATTTTATAGAATGAATTTACTTGGGTTATCCCCATTTCATCATAATCATTCTTATTTCCATGAATTTGAAAAGTTAGGACATTCCATCCTTAATATCATATCAAGAGTGGAATTCAATCTTGTGACAATATTCATTTTGGCTTTTTAAATATTAATGGCGGTTTCAGGTTTTTTTGACAAATTTCTTTCAGAATGGAAATTTTTTGCATTAGACATGTGTATTGAACGAACAATTGCCTGTATCTTTCAATTCAATGCGTATCTTTATTTAATGGAGCAAGTGATGATTACTAAAAATTTGATAAATTTTACACACATAATAAAGCCATAATTTGGTTACAGTTGATGGCATAAAAAAAGTTGCCAGAATTGATAATCTCCTTAAAAAAATTAGAGAAATTATTTCAGCCCTCAGATATCGAG